TTTCGCCTCTAGGCTTTTTTAAGTATTTCAATTTGACATTAATTGACTTAACATGGTCTGACCAATTTAACAATACACTCTGCAAGATTGTCATCGTATGCCATTTATTGTGACAGAAATACTAATTGAATGCATCATTTAGAACTAATCCTTTCTTGTTGTACGCTATCTTCTTTAGGATGTCGAGCATCGTAGAATATTTTAATTTTAAAACAATTTTACTTTTATTAAATTTTAATTCATTAACAATTCTTTTTAACGTGTGATTTATGATGAAAATAAAATGATGTTCCCATTATTATTGCTAATTATTTGTCAACAAATTAGTTATTAAAACTTTTGTGATTACAATTATTATTATTATCATCATCATCATCGTTAGTATGGTAGCAATGATGATGACGACAACAATGAAGATGACGATGGTTATTAATAATATTATTATGTTATTATTATTATTTGTAATATTGTTACGATGATGATGATGATGGTGATGATGATTATGAAGATGAAGATGGTGGCGATGATGATGACGACGATGATGATAAATTTTTTATTGCTAACACAGATTCTAGTTTACCTGACGAAAACTTGTCGGCGTATAATAACAACAGCAACAGCAAAAAAAACAACAACAATAATAATAACAACAACAACAATAATAATAATAATAACATTAATAATAATAACAATAACAATAATAGTAATAGTAATAATGTTCTGGTAACTTCAAACGCAAACAAAAGTATTAACGCTAGTTCCATTAGGGGAAAAATAATAAACAACGACAACAACAACAACAATAACAATAAAAACAACAATAACATCAACAACAACATCAGCATAATCAACGAGAATAGTAATAATGTAAACAATAACCACGACAATAAACACACATTGCTTGCAAAAACATCTTATACAAATAATATGAATGTCAACAACAACGACAACAACAACAACGACAATGACGTCATTAACAGCAACAACTTTATCAACAACAAAATTTTATCCGATCAATCAACGCTAGAGCAGCAGTTAGAATTGTATAAACAACTCCAACAACAACTCATAACGTTAAACCCAACAGCCAAACTAAACAAATGCAACAACAACAACAACTCATACAACAACATTAATTTATTAACTAAATCGCCACCATCACCGTCGCCGCTTTTTACAACATCAATAACATCAACAAGCCAAACAACAACAACAACCCCATTAACAACAACACAAATAGCAACGGATGTTTTCAATGTAGTCCTAATGGACACGTTAGAAAAGTTAGAGAGTGAATTAAAATCCAAGCACAAACTTCCAAACAACAACATCAACAACATTCACATTGACAACACAACAAAATTGCATGACATAAACCTATCTACCAGCAACAACACTTCTGACAACAGCAATGCGAACAGTAACGGGTATAAAAATCTTGATATGAATAATTTCAGAGTTGAAAACATCCAAGTTGAAGCTGAGCCACCAGCGATCGTTTGCGCTGATTCAACAACAACTACAACTTTAACTTCAACAACTATGACAACAACATCAACATCACTATCTACACTGCCTACAGCAACAACAACAACAACACCCTCTATTCAACAAACACCAACAAATAACATCTTAAGTAATTCAGCGTGGGAAACAAAGCTTCAAGGAAATTTGTACGAAGCAACAAGCAACAATAACAACAACATCATCGGCAACATTGTTGATGTTCCTATCTGCAACAAAACTACAAAAAAGCGAAAAAATTCGCTTTCTTTGGAGTCGTGCGTTTCTTTTAATAAGAAGCCAAAAGACGAAAATTCCACCACCACCAACAACAAGACAGCTAATGTTAATAATTTCAACAGCAATTATGCAACTAACAACAACAACATTTCAACCGTTACGACATCAAATGCTATCAACTACGCAAACAATACGAACACTATCTCACCGATCAACAACGACCCGCTGACTGAAAAGTCTGACAACAACAGCAGCCAAACAACGACAATAGTGAATGTACAACCGACAAACAATCACAGTATTAACATCAACAACAACATCAACAATTCTAAAATCAACAACAACAACATCCTCAACAACAACAATCATCGACAAAGCAGCATCAACCACAATCCTAAATCGGCCGCAACTTGTCTCGAGAACATGAAAGTGTTTGAGTTGAAAGTTGAATGTAGGAAACGGAATTTGAGTGTTTCTGGTAACAAACAAATTTTACTGGCAAGGTTGTTGCCCTACTCTGAAATTATCATGCAACAACAACAGCTGCTGCAACAACTGACGCAACAACAACAACTCCTGAATAACACTAACAACAATATTGTTAACGCCACCAACAATAACGTCACCAACAACAACATCAACTGCAGCAATAACATTTCAGATGATTTACATCATCACAGCAATAACAAAATAACATCAAGTTCTACCGCTGCTTTCGTTTGTAGTTCATCAAATTTTGTCGCAAGTGCCACTCAAA